TCTGACTTCTAGGTGCCTATAGCTGCATGTGATAAAGCACAATCCTGTCTCTGTGGTTTAAATATCTTAATATAAAAGAAAACCTAGACAACAAAGTAATATGCAAGTTTACATGAATATTGTTGAGTAAAAATTGAAAAACTCTTCTTTTTTTTACCTCATTTTGCAAAGACAATGAATTTACCTCCACAAATATGAGCTTTGGTGTGACTTGAACCTTGAGTCTGATTTTTTTCTTTTGCATTTCACCTTAGCAATTCACAGTGACTCCCAGGGCTTACATGAGAACACTAGATTTTGGCAAAGCCTCTTGAAATACAAGGTAGAGGTGGCCTGTAGGTGATCTTCATGCTATCAAAGCAAGAAAAATAGAGAAGATTAAAAGGTGTCCAAAGTTGTTCAGGCACGTGCAACCAGGAGTTCCTGCGATCCATGCAGCCACATTGTACCAAGGCTAGCTATGAATGCCAGATAGTAAACTTACTGAGAACACGACTGTTTGTGATAACTCGACTGTGCACTTCTTGAGTATGGATGCTGTAGAAGACAAGGCCACTCTGCAATGTCTACACATTGGCAAGGTGATCCACTAAGGTACCACTTTCCCAGGCAACCTGCTAATGCCCTGTCACTAGTTGGAAGTATTCTCAGTTGAATCCTGGGCTGTAAAGAGGATCGCCTGCCCCCAGACTTGTAAAGTCAATATAAAACAAATCTGTCTGAAATCTCATACTGTGCTTATAAACCCAGCTTTTATGATTTTGTTTTTGGTATGGGCATAGCAAAATTTTATTAGCTATGAATTTTATCATGGGCTTCTGCTCAAACTGACTTTTGGGGACATTATTGGGTGTATTACTTTTATCATTGTTGTTACTGAAAGGGAGGTGGGGGGAGGAAGGGACGGTTTGATGGTTTGGGGTCCTCGCTCCATGGTACAGTTCATCATGTTGGGGAATCTCGGAGGCAGGAGGTTGGAGCAGCTGCTCACATTGTGTCTTCATTCAGGAAGTAAAGAGATGAATAGAGATGAATGCTGGTGCTAAGTCCATTTTCTCCTTTCCATTTGGATCCCAGCTCTGGTGAGGTTGCTGCCCTCAGTTCAGGGGGTGGGTTGCTCATCACTGTAATGAACCTAATCAAGAAGCATGCTAACAGACATACTCACAGCTTGGTCCTGCAAGTGAGTATTGCAGCTGCCAAGTTGGCAATCAATGCAAGCCATCATGATGGGTAAATAACACACAACAGAATGATTTTTTTCTTTCCTTTCTTGTTTTCATTTTATATTTTTTATGGCAAATATATTACTTGTGAGCTTCTAGCTTCCTAAGTACTCTCTGGGCTAGGTATTCTTGTAACTTGTATGTGTGTGTGCCTGCATATCTGTATGCTTAACGCATGTATGAAGGTGCCCACAGAGTTCAGAGCAGGACATCAGATCCCCAGGAGTTGGAGTTACAGATGGTTATGAGCCAATTGGTGTGGGTGCTGGGAACTAAACCCAGCATGAGCACTAAGTGTTCTTAACCAGTCCCAGAGCCTGGTTACAGAAGATTTCTGAAACCAACAAGTCACTGTTACTCATAGTGACACAGCCCTTTACTCTAATACTTGGCTAATACAGGCAACCAACTATGGATTGAAATATCGTTTTGATTGCCTCTGTACTAGTATATGCAGTTTTTTTCTTGTCATAATTCCCTACACGACAGAGCACTCACACTGTGTGAGGTAAGACAAGTAACCTACAAATGATTAAGAAGAGTGTTTGAGAAGATATGCATGGGCTGTATACAAATAATGAAACAATGTATCATTTTATACAATGGATTTGGAGCATCTGAAGATTTTGACACCTGTATTGATCCAGAAACCAATATAAACCAGTATCTAGAGATACCAAAGATCCATTGTACTGGGATAAAATTAGTTGCGATCTCTCCCCTCACTTTCTTTCTCTCTCTCCTTTTAGTACAGGATCTTGCTATATATCCCAGGCTGGACTTGAGCTTGTCTGGATTTTCCTGATTCTGCCATCTGAGGGCAGAGATTACAAATGTGCGCCACCAAGATCTCCCCCCTTTTATTTTAAAGATGTTTCCCCACCTTCTCTATCATTTATATTTAGTCATTTTTATTTGTGTATTTTTTTTTACTGCAATCTGATATTCATAAACAACTTCAAGAACATTGCCGGGTGTTGATGGCTTATGTTTTTAATCCCAGCAATTGGGAGGCAGAGGCAGGTGGATCTCTGTGAGTTCGAGGACAGCCTGGCTTACAGAACTAGTTCCAGGACAGGCTTCAAAGCAATACAGAGAAACCCTGTCTCGAACAAACCAAACTCAAAACAAAAACATCTAGTTCTGAACTAGCTGTGGTGATAAATGCCCATAATCCCAGCACTTGGAAGGTAGAGGTAGGAGAATCAGGAATTCAAAGGCATATTTGGTTACATAACTAGTTTGAGATAGCCAGACTGGACTATAGAAGACACTATTAAGGAAGAACGAAAGAAAGAGAGAAAACAGAATTTTGAATTATGCAAGATGGTCTAACAAGGTGAGAGCCAGGAACAAACCCTGGAGGAATCCACTAGATGGCAGTAAGTACAAATCAATATAACTGCCCCTGGAAAAGACTGATGGTATGGCACATGCATACATACATACATACATACATACATATATTACAAATATGACTTGTTAAATGTAATTCAAATTAATTCAACAATTTGAAATAAATGTATGCAAAAATGTTTCTATTTTTGGAATTAGTGGGAGTTTACTAGGTTAAAAGACAAAAGAAGTACTTCTGGATTTAGCTCTTAATAGTAATGTGATTTGAAGCAGTCTAGTATTTGCCATTCTGGTCCACTCTTAAGATATTACATAGTTAAACAAAAATCCTTCCAACTATAGTCTTGGACTTTAGGTCAACCATAACTTTAATTGATGGATATTCTGGTTTAGAAGTACCCACCAGGATTTCTTGGAGAATTTAGGACATTCAAATATATTAACTCACCTTTTTGGAGGAAATTACCTAATAAAGTGACATACTTATAATCTAGTAATCACTGTCTAGAATAAGGACTGTCTATACCTCACAGAAACCCCACAGCAGCGTGTCATAGAGATAAAACAAAATCACCACCACCACCAAAACAATTGTCTTGAAGGTTGAGAATCCTGTAAATAGAGAAAAGGGCATGAGTCGGACAAGAGGTTCTCATGGGGCCCACAATAGTAAGTTTCTGGAAGCAGGTGATTTAGACTGTGTTGATAATTTCCCAGTGATCGCTGCTGTAAATCCTCACCACCGTAACCTGTATTCAGTTTGAGATGTATCAGAAACAGAAACTCTTTTGTAAATAGCATTCTTCACGAGCACCGGTGGTTAAAACTACCAAGTCGAGTGACAACAGAAACCATTGCAGTTTGATAATATAGCCACAGCTCATACTGTATTGTACATTTTGATGTCTTCTACCCATGCTTAGGATAAGTTTTCCACTTACACTCACATGAATGGAAGGAGTAACCCAGCTTGGAAGTGAGTGTGAGGGATGCAGGAAACTCATCCTCAAGACACAGGAAAGCTTGTCAGAAACTGAGGTGGAACACTGTTCTGTGTGATCTCCAGACTGCTGGCCCTGGCAGCTTGGCTCCACCTGAATTAGTGAAATTGAGGTTCTGGACCCTGTGGGTCTGAGGCAGGTTAGCGTTCTCCTCAGCCTCACAGTGTTGCCATACATCACTATTTCCACCAGTGCATTTTCCGTGATGAAAATGAGAAATATGACTTCCAACTTGGAGCCATTTTCAGACAAGTTGCAAAATCTCATCACTTTTGGATTAGCATTTTATTTTTTTCAGGCACAGTCTCATGTAACTTATGCTGGCTTTTAACTCCCTATGCAGCTGAGGATGCCTTGAACTTCTTATCCATTTGCTTCCACCTCTCAGTATTGAGATTACAGGTATGAGTTATTAGGACCTAAGTTTTGTGCGATGCTGGGGATAGAAGTCTGGACTTTGTACATGCCAGGAAAGCACTGGACCAATTGAACTATACCCCCATTCACAGACAAGTGTTTTAATGAGTCAAATCCTGATGCCTTACATTTGGACTCTGTCTTCTCTTTATTCTGTGCCTCATCTCCATGATAGGGCTCAGAGTAGTGCCTCCTATCCAAGGCTGCTTTCCAAATGAAACAAGTTAAAACTTGTAAAGTTATTATGACAGCTACTTAAATATTAAATGATTTCCATACCTTTATTGGGTTCCCAGCAGGATGTAGCTTAGGATGAGTGGAGTCCCTACTTAAAGCCATTTCTTCCTGGCCTTTTATTAAAAATGATTGAATTACATTATTCATGTGTGTTGGGGTGACATCATGCCAGAGCAAAGCTTATGGGGATTTCACCTCTCCATCATTTAGGTGTCACAATCCTCTCAATCCTGGAATTCAGGCGAGGAGTTGTAGCTGTAAGCACCTTTTACCCACACAGCAATCTTTCTAGACCTCGGCCTTTCTTAGCAACATCTTAATGCTATATAAATGTAAGCCACTATAAGTCTCAAAAGATAACCACGGAATGAAAGAACTTTTAATACGAGGCTGGTCTAATACTGCATGACATTAGCTATCTTCCAGTTCGAGTGTTTGATACATATGAAATATAATCACTGTCTACAGCTGGAAATAATGCTCAATACTACCCCAATTGCTCAATGGAAATTTCAAGGTGTTTGAGCACACAAAAAGAAGTTACAACTGCCAGGATTGGTTTGAAACAAAGCCATGGTTAGAAAAATGAAGACATGTTTATTTTGTACAGATGACTGTCAGTGTTCAAGAGCCAAAAGGCTGTGAGTAGTGTGCCAGGATAAGGCGACTGTCAGGACCCAAGAATTGGGAGTGTCTCAAAGCCAAGTGAACTGGAGGGTTCAAAAGTCAAGAGTCTGTGCGTATCACAGGGCAAAGAGTGTATCTCAAGGCCAAGAGACCTTCAGTGTCCATGATCTCACGGAATCCAGGCTCAGAGGAGCAGCAGCGAGCCCAGCAGCAGCTCGCCCTGGCCCAGCGGCCTTCCACGCACCAGCCCACGGCCCTTGCTCTCCGCCTTGATGCGCACGGACAGGCGGCGCAGCTGCTCCTCCGACAGTCCGTCGAAGCAGCAGTCCTGGTCCAAGGCGGCTTTGCGGCTGCGGCGAAGAACGCTGCTGCGCTGCTGGCCTGAGTGCCACAACACCAGACTTAGGCGACAGCCCAGGGCGCGGGGTTCGAGCGCAGCGGCCGGGCCCTCTGCACGAAGCAGGCGGAGTCGCAGACAGGCGCTGCGCGGACAGTACTCGGCGGCCAGGCGCAGCGTGCAGTCCCCGCGACTCAGAGCCACGCTGGCCTCGGCTTGCAGGAGCTCGGGACGAGGACTCGCAGGGGCTGGCGACGCGCAGGAGGCGGCGCGCTCGTGCTTGTCGCGGGAGGACCAGGAGCACGCGCGGGCCCGACCTCGAGGGATCCTCAGCGCGCGGCTCAGCAGCCCATCAGGGGCGCGCAGGAAGCGGCGTCTGCGGGGCACAGGAGTAGGTTGCGGGACCGCGGCGGCATTTGGGTTGCGCGGCAAGGAGCGCGAGGAGTCCGGGACTCGGTGCTGACTTCCGTAGGTGTATGAGCGGTGGTGAAGCCCGGGCACGAGGACCCTGGCACCTGGGTGACCGAGGAAGAGCGACTCCTTCCGGCGAGTGTGCGGGCTCTGGAGCAGCGCGCAGAAGCCGTAGGCGGTGCGCGCGCGGGGCAGATGCCGCAGGGAGAGCGCGGCCTGTGAGCGCGGGTCCCAGTCTGTGCGACCCGTGTGGTCGTCATTCTCCGCGTCGGCAGCCCAGGCATCGCGCAGTGCAGCCCAAGTGGTGCTAGGCTCCAGCTTCGGTGGGATGCAGAACTCTGGGATGCGGTCAGGAGTGAGCACGTTCACGCACTCAGGGGATGAACGTGCTTTGGAGCGGCGGGCTCGACCCGGGAGAAATCCATCTCGGTTCCTTAAGAGCTGCTGCAGACACCACATCTGGTCTCTGGTGTTGGAACCTGGTGATTCTCTGTTTGAGGCTGCCTGAAATATATATACAAAGGCACACCTGTCAGAGGCAGCCTGGAGGAAAGTGAGAATTTCTGTCTTGTTCAGACTCTTACAAGGCAAAGTGCATCCCTCACCCCCCTCCCCCTTGCAAACTGTTTTCGGAGACTGAGAAACAATCGTTTATCACCCGCCTGTCTCCAATTGACTGTCATGTAATTTGCAGCTTGTTGCAATCTTCTCCCCTTACTGGCCCTGTTACCTTTGTCTTCCAACTTTAGCCTCTGTCCCTGGTGCCAAAAGGCACTTTGCTTTGTGCCTTTGTGCATCCGTTTCCTGAAACCTCAAAAGTCTAATATCACTCCAGTCAGCGAGAAAACACACACACACACACACACACACACACACACACACACACACGCACCCCCCCCCCACACACACACACACCAGAAACGGTGGCTTCTTTCAGAGCGCTTCAGGCCGTCCAAGTCTCACAGCCTGAAGGGAATCGGGTTCACATTCATATACCTGGTGTTCTGTGTCAGATGGTTTTCAAACACGAGAAATTCAAAGCGCGCGCGACAGGGTTGACAGCTGCTGTTCTAGGACAGCTGGCCAGGGCTTTTATACCGGCTGTGGCAGTGCTGCCTGGTAACCTGACGCCTGGCCCTCCCAGGTCCCTCTGCCACGTGGATGGATTTGCTGATCTGATCCCACAGCCTGCTCTTCCTCTGCAGTTGGAGCCATTCTCCTCCAAAACCCTGAACAAGTTTGTTTCCTCATGTGCAAAACAGGATTAAGTCTGGACCAGGTCGTAGTCCTTCTGGGGACGGAGGAACAAAATGAGCTTGAGTGCACAGAAGCACGCTGCACGCACCATTCCAAAGAAGCCAGAAGTCGGGTTTGTCATACCCAATGACCTTTCTCATATTCAACCTTTTTGCTGCCTAGTATTGAAAATTCTTCACTTTCTGTATTCAGTTCTGATTTTAGAAGTCCTTTCTCTGTTGATTTTTAATCACTCTGAGTTGGGGGGGGGGTGTCATGGGATTCTGGAAATGTTCCATATTTGTCTTGGTGGGGTTAAAGGGGTGTATTCCTATGTAAAGAAATATTTAGTGTATACTTAAGATTATATATATTTCAATTAAAAAAACCACAACCTTTTAAAGCATGGTGCTAATTTTTAATTAGGGAAATATACTTCATACACTCAGCTGTTGGCACCATCCTTTGGAGACACACATTGACCACATCTGGCTTTGGAAGACTGTGTCCCTGTGAGATCCCCCTCCTTTCTTTTGGAAACTGATGTTTATTTTTTAAGAGAGTTGCCTTCAGCTTGAATTGAAAGAGATTCTAGGATATTTCAACTAGAATTTGAACATAGGTTATTTCTAAGATGCTGCCTTGCAAATGACTGGGCTCTCCAAGGAGTGTTAAATGAATCAAATCAAATTCAGGCAAAAGGGGGCTTCAGTTTGGGATACATTGTGTGTGTTTTGCATCCAGAACACACAGGCAACATACTAGATGACTTTGTCTCTAGAGTTGTCACAGGAGCCCTGGGAACTGAATTATGTATGTTTCATAAACAATAAAACAGTACTTCAGAAGTTAAATGACTTATTCATAGTCATCAAAGAAAGGAAATGAAAGGAATCCCTACTAATGGGTATTAAATGAGTTTTGGGGGGAATTAAGGCATATTATTATGCAGCATGTATGTAACATAGTACATGCTAAAGATGCAGAAGCAGTGAATATCAGTATCATTGTTAACGTTGACAGTGGGGACACTGATAGTAGTTAAGATTGTGTTGGAATCATGACAGATTTTGATTACAGAACAGTAATTTACTATGAGCAAGTTACTGAATGTTTCTGAGTCTTGGTGTGCAGTGTAAAGACCACAATAATGACACTACAGGTTTGCCTCGGATAAAATAGGTAATGCTAGTGAACAATTCTACATAGGACCGAAGGTGCATAATATCAGCTGTTATGTCCATTGTTATTATGGTAAATACTCCTTAGTTCACTCATGTGTGTAAAGCAGAATTTACAGACTCCTTCCTGGGTTTTAACCACCATAGGAGATACATGGATCCAGGCTGTACCAGATCCTATCAGCTTATATACAACTTTTAGAAGAGGAAGGAAATGGTAAAGTTGAAATATCTGAATTCCACCTAGTTAGGGTAGTAGTGAAAGAAAAAAATGTAAAAATATTTTGCTTTTAATGTATCTATATGCACATGAGTTCATGCACACACACTCGTGCACCTGCATGTAGATACCCCAACAGGCCAGAGAGGACGGCGAATCTCCTGGAACTGCCCCACATGGGTGCTGGGAACAAAACTTGATCCTTTACAAGAGCATCTAGTGCTTTTAGATGCAGAACCATCTCTCCAGTTTCAAGAGACTTTGGATTCTATTTTATATTTAGTCTGATAGGGAAAATTGGAGTGGGTTCCTATGTTTACCATGTCTGTGACTAGCTTCGTTTTCATTTGTAACTCTTATTCCTGGCTCAAATCCTTGGACCAGGGTTCAGTCTGTGAGAGACTAATTATACACCCAAAGGGCATGTAGTTATGCTCAAACTCTTTTTTCCCCCCAATAAGGAATGTGCTGCTGATTCCAGACATTGGTTAAAATGACAAGTACTATGAGAACTCAGACTGAGAAATTGCGAATCGAGGTCACTAACCTGCTGAACCCAGCTTGTAAAATGGAAACTGCCATATCTGTTGCATAGACTGTTGTCATTATAAAGATATTCTTGTGAGTTCTCTGGGCAGACAGCACGCTCTGCCTAACAGTTAGCTGTTGTCTTTGTTATTATGCACGTTTGCTCAGCCAGGCATTAGCTGATTCACACTAAAAGTTCTTGAAAAACATCTCTCTGCTCAGCCAAGCAAAGCAGGCCTGTTTTATTTTTATTAACAGTTCACCTTCTTTAGTAACACCTCGAAAGCATTTCCTGTATAATGTTTCTTGAAAACAACAGAGATGTGCTGTCATAGGCCAATCCTCTGGGAACACAGTATAAGTCTCATGTTTTTACTTAACACGGAAGCATGAGCCACCCAGTGTAATCATGTCCAGCCAGGTGTCCAGAACATACAAATCTACGCAGAAGGAGGCCAAGTTCATTCTGAGCAAATACTTGTAGCCATGGGGATATCTAGAGTTGGAGCTGTGAAAAGAACATAAATCGATTGCACACCATTGTGGTGGGAACCTGAATCTGTTTAAAAATAGATTTATTAAGAATGGATTGGGAGAGGATGGATGATGGGTTAAAGTTAGAGAGGAGACATATTTTTGTGGTCTGTGGCACAGTAGGGTGAAGGTAACAATATAGCATTATGTATAACTAAAAATATCTAGAAAAGACTTTAACCGTACAGACTTAAAGTTCATTATCCTCATCAGAACATTCCTTGATTTATAGACAGACCCAAAATCACATTGTGTAATATTTAATAAAATGAACAAATTTTCTGTGTCAATAAAAGGAAAGTAATAAAAAGTGACTTACAAAAAACAGTGCACAGGAGATTAGGTGTCTAGAAAGCAGAAGAGATTATCAGCTGATGCTCTCATTCACACATCTCATTCAACCAAGGAAAGCAGGGAGTAAAGGACCCGTGGGCTTTAGCTTTACAGTCATTAGCTTGTGGAACATTGGGCAAGCTCTTCAATTCTCTCTGGTCTTCACTGTTTTCTGTTAATTTAGATGGTTAGATTCATCAGATGTTCTGCCATCTTCCTTGTTGTGCTGTCTCCTGCTCTTCACCCGCGTATGCCTCCCGTCAATCTTTGTGCGTGTGTGTGTGTGCGCGCGCGCGCACACACACACACACACACACACACACACACAGGTATGCACATGCTCCTCCTGTCAATCTGCAGGTGTGTGTGTGCAGGCAAGCACATTCTCTTCCTGTCAATCTGCAGGTGTATATGTGTGTATGTGCAGGTATGCACACGCTTTGGTGCCCATGTGGTAGTCAGAGACAACCTAAGATGTTCTTACCCTCATTAGTTTTGGTTTAAAAAACATGTAATGACTGCAGTCACCACACTGTTCATTTTCTTTAGCTTCCGATTTATCTCCCCTATTGGGCTGTACTTTGAGTGCTGACAGTGTTTTAATTTTTAAAATTATTATTATTTTATGTGTGTCTGCCTGCATGTATTTCTGTGCATCACATGTGTGCAGTGCCCACAGAGGCTGGAAGAGGGCATCAGATTCCTTGGAACTGGAGTTACAGGTGGTTATGAGCAACAATGTAGGTGCTGGGAAATTGAATCTGGGACCTCTGGAGGAGCAACCATTTCTCTTAACCACTGAGCCATCTGTACCACCTCTGAACCCACAGAAATTTGCCTGACTCTTAGTGCTGGGACTAAAGATGTCTGTCACCAGGCCCAGCCTTACTTTTTAAATTACACTTATTTACCTATGTATTTACTTATTTATTTGTTTATTTATTTATTTGAGACAGAATCTTCCCATGTACCATATCTTGGCTTTCTCTCTGTATGTTTGTGTGCATGCAAGGCATAATGGAATGCGGAGGTCAGAACAACTTGAAGGTGTCTGCTCTCTTCTTTCATCATTGAGTCTCAGGTCTTGAACATCAGGCTTGGCAGCAAGCACCTTTACCCGCAGGACCATCTCACACCAGTCTATTTCATTATTTAAAAAAAAAAAAAATCTAACATAGGGCTTCATATAGCCTAAAATCTGGTCTTGAACTGGCTATAGAGTCAAGGATGACCTTGGACTTTCAACCTTCCTATCTCTCTCTCCCCAATGCTGGGATTAAGAGGCATGCACTACTATGAACAGATAATAAGATTCTGGGGACTCGAACGCATAGCTTCCTGCAGGAATGCCACACCGCTTTGCCCCAGGCCTCACTTGCTCTTCCGTTGGCTCCCTGTAATCGCGAAGCGAGTGGAGGGGGGGTGAA